GAGTAGAAACTCTTTAAATTAGATAGGTAGATAGAGAGATGACAGATAGATAGATGAAGTTCATATTATGTTTATAGCCTCACATTCACTTCCTCAATTTTTTAATATATATAAATATGAAATATATATGAAAAGGACTGAGGAAGTAAATATTTTTATTTCTACTATTACAACACAATTCTTATTTGTATAGTGTTCATATGACCTGGATATTATTATATCATTTCATTTTAATAAATTCAAAAAAAGATACACTAGATATGAAAATGAAATTTAGTTATATATGCATTATTTATATACATATTTGTGTTATAAATAATAGCTATGTAATATCTATATTTGTATTATATAAATATGCATAAATATACTTGTTGCAAACTCTAAAAAATAATCACTCCATTACCCAAACAGAATTCACACACATACACACACATCACAGTGTGTAGAAGGTGAGCTAAGTCACAGGAAGGTGGAGCTTCTCACTACAAAGCTGAGCAGCAGAGCTTTAGAGCAGGTTTTCAGAGTCTATGTCATGAAATTGATGGGCTACAGGAACAAAATTAGCTCCAAATTCAAGATATCATTCACACTAATATTTAAAGGGATTTGACATCAAGGTATATCCCTATAGCAAAAGAGTAAGGAATCATGAAAGCACAATAGGAGTCTTGCTGGACCTCTTGTAGATACAGATTTCCTGCGAGTTAAGGCCATCCCAGAAGGATCCCACAGGAATGTCACAGCTGAATCTGGAAAGGAGCAAAGAAGGACAGGAAAGGTGTTGGAAGAGAGAGAACTCTAATCTCTTGGACTGTGTTCTTTCCATGAGATTGGAAACTGGATAAAATTTTCTGATACTCAGCAACAGCTACTGTCACTTTGCAGCGACCCTCACCTGTGCCTGGGCCTAATTTTCTTTCTTCAACTGCAGATGAAGGTGGAGCAGAGTCCAGGGGTCCTGATCCTCCAAGGAGGGAGAAATTCCTCTCTGACATGTAAGTTTTTAAAAACTTACTTGAGTCAAGGATATCCAAGATGGCAGAGGAGTGGAAGTTACACTAACCTCCTCCCAGGACCAATCTGGAATTCCAACTAAATTGTGGAGAAATCACCTGGAAGAAACAACTGAACAATAGTGAAAGAGAAGCCTTATAACCATGGACAGACAAGAGAAACAGCTTCAGCACAACATGACTGGTAGGGAGTGCTGGGGAGGGGTCAGGGGGGAGACACAAGAGAGCTGGTGCCCACAAGAGGCAGCTGAAGCACCAGAGGGATATTTAAGCAGCTGGTTGGATATCCCTGAGAAGAGTAGGGTCTAAACCCTAAGCTGGGATCCCCAATCTAGAGCACTGGAGCCCAAAAAGTACACAGATAACATCCAGCTGTGAAAAGTGGCAGTGTTTCTCTCTACCAGACACAGATGATGAGACATGCAAAGAGCTGTTTAAAGGGCCAACACATAAATTTTTATTTGCAGCTGCTTATCCTAGGCTCCAGCAAAGGGTGGGGGTCTTGCAGAGTAGACTAGAGATGTTTCAGGAAAGACTAGGGATGGACGCTTTGGGGAGAGAACTGAGAGAGTGGCCATGAGGATCCCAGAGCTGAATTATCCCCCATACAGCAGCAGCTATCCTGCTCAGGCAGACTACTCCTCTCCATTGGCAGTAGCCTGAGGAGAAGCAATAGCCCTGCCCTCAGGAGGGGCTCTGCCATGACTATGGTGCTTAAGCTTGACTGCTGAGTGCAGAGTGACTAGATTAACAATTGAAGTAGTCAGCCACAGACAGTAGATCCCTGCTAATCCTGAACAGGCTGCCTAAGGCCAGGGGGGCTCACCATCTGACATCACCAGAAGCAGAACCAGAAGAAAAAGACAGTGGTAAACACTAGATGCTACTGAGACAAAATCTACTGTGGTCTTCTGAGTGATTTGCAATATTTTCTTTCCTGCATAGCTTTTTGACATTCACTTCTTGCTTTTCAAGTCTGTGCATATTAAGTCACTAGATTTTATATTATACTTTATTTCCATTCACATATTTTGCTCCTTCTTTCTCTTACCCTTTTTTACATTCTTCTTTCCTCTTACTATTTTCGTTTTCAATTTTGTTTTCTCTCTTGCTACAACTTTTTTCCATTCTTCACTTACTATATCTCCCCTTTCCAGCCTCTCAAAACCAATTTTCTTGTTAACAGTCATTCCACATTCTTTTTCCTGCTCTTAAAATACCTGTGTTCTCTCTTCGCCTTTAGCAATTTTAGCTCATTGATTGTGGATAGGGTAGTTGTTGAATTTTTTTCAATTTTATCACTAGATCTTCATTATATTTGTATTTCATCTTCAAAATGTCCATACTACCCAAAGCAATCTATAGATGCAACTCAATCCCTATCAACATACCAATGACATATTTCACAGAGATAGAACAAATTTTTAAAAAACATATGGAGCCATAAACCCGGAATAGCCTCAGCAATTTTGAGAAAGAAAAATGAAGTTGGAGGGATCACAATACCTCATATCAAACTATATTACAAGGCCACTGTAATCAAAACAATCTGGTGCTAGCATATGAACAGACACATAGATGAACAGAACAGAATAGAAAGCCCAGAAATAAACCCATGTCTCTATGGTCAATTAATATTTGACAAATGGGCAGAAGCATAAAATGGAGTAAAAATAGCCTCTTCAACATTTGATGTTGGAAGACCTGGACGCCTATATGCAAAAAAATGCACCAACTTACACCATACACAAAAGTAAACTCAAGATAGATAAAAGGCTTAAATATAAGTCATGGCATGATAAAAGTCCTAGAAGAAAACATAGGCAGGAAACAGACAACAAAAACAAAGCTGCACAAAGACAACAGTGGGGACAATTGAACGTGGGTGGTCAGGGGTGGATAGGGCAGGGGAGAGTAATAGGGCAAAATGGGGAGAAGTAGCTGAACAACAATAAAAAGAACATATTTTATAGAGATAGAAAGCAGGGAGAGAGAGGCAGAGAGATAATATTGTTGTTCCACTTACTTATGTATTCTTTGTATGTGCCCTGATTGGCAATTGAACCCACAACCTTGGCACATTGTGAGGATGCTCTAAACAACTGAGCTACCCAACCAGGGCTGACATGCATTTCTCCTATCTCCACACCAATGTCCAGTGGTTTCAACAAATTCCTTGAGGACTCCTCATATCATAGTTTCTAAAATACACCAAAAAAAAAAAAAAAAAAGACTGAAATCCACAGTCAATATCAAGAAACAGCCACCTCTACATCAGAGACTCTCATCCTGGGGACTCAGCCACTTACTTCTGTGCTGTGCAGCCACAGTCCACTCCAGACACCTGCGTCTATATTCACAACTATAGCTGAGGACCAAACCCAAAGTCCAGAATGGGAACAGGGGCTCAACATGATTAGAATTGCATTTCTAGTGCCCTGCATCTCCTCATTCACGCAGAAAGCACTTCTAAATGAGCTACAATTTGACCCTACAAAGCAAGCACACACATGGTTCATCTGGAGATCTCTGTGTGATAGTTTTACCAGCTAAAATCTGAGAGAGATTGATCAACTCTCCCATATTTGGTTCTGTCTTTGTGGAAATGAGTAAGAAGAATTACCTTGTGACATTCAGTTAAGCAGAAGAAACGGGGGCCCTGAAGACCACATTAGAGCGCAACTACATTAAAGGTAAAGCTACCTTTTTTAAAATTTTATAAATTTAGAACTCCCTGTGTTCTAAATTTGTAACCACTGCCTTAAAAATAACATCATACCCCATGCATTCCCCAAAACACCAATTCTTATTAATATTTTAAAATAAGGTGCCTCCCTAAGTATGTCAGTTAACAAGGTATCAATCATTTGACTTCGTATAGTTCTCTAAATTCTCAGCTATCATTTTCTACTTGCAATAAGTAAATATCTCCATACATTTGTTTTTAAGTATATTTTATCAATTGATAGCATACAGTTGTCCCATTTTATCTCCCCGTTATTTCCCTCTGCCCTGTACCCCTCCTCCCACCAGCATTCCTCCCTTAGTTCACGTCCATGCGTTGTACATATAAGTTCTTTGGTTTCTCCATTTCCTACACTATTGTTAACCTCCTCCTGTCTATTTTGTACCTAATATTTATGCTTGTTACTCCCTGTACCTTTCCCCCAATTCTACCCCTTCTCCCTCTCCTCTGATCTCCATTTGTGTGATTCCGTTCCTGTTCTAGTAGTTTGATGAGTTTGTCCTTGTTTTTTTAGGTTCTCTTGTTAATAGTTGTGAGTTTGTTGTCATTTTACTTTTCATAGTTTTGACTTCTTCTTTTTCTTAGATAAGTCCCTTTAACATTTTGTATAATAAGGGTTTGGTGATGATGAACTCTTTAAACTTTCCCTTAGCTGGGAAGCACTTTATCTGCCTTTCCATTTTAAGTGTTAGCTTTGCTGAATAGAGTGATCTTGGATGTAGGTGCTTGTCTTTCAGGACTTTGAATATTTCTTTCCAGCCCCTTTTTCCCTGTAAGGTTTCTTTTGAGAAATCAGCTGATAGTCTTATGGGCACTCCATTGTAGGCAACTCTCTACTTTTCTCTTGCTGCTTTAAGATTCTCTCCTTATCTTTAATCTTGGGTAATGTAATTATAATGCACCTTGGTGTGCGCTTCCTTGAGTCCAACCTCTCTATCTCAATACATTTCAATTATGTGATCTCTGAACACCTTCCCTTCTCCTAAAGTCTCTTATTTTTACTTATTAACTTGGGGAAGGAATTACAAATTGATCTTTATGAAACACAGAAAAGCATCTTCAGAAATTTGCTACATGTGGACTAAAGGGGGCAGTGCTTCCTTTCATAAAGATGTATAACTTTAGCTAAAAGTAGGGCTGCTCATAAGTGAAGCAGAGGCTCTGTGGAAGGATATGAATGAGCTGTAGGAAGCTGAAGTCAGACTGACAGTTGCCTGGGCAGGAGAAAGGACGACCAGTCTTCCCAGGAGAAATGGGCAGGCTCCTGGGGGCTTTGTTGTTGATTTTGTGTCTTCAGCTACAGCGTGAGTTTGGGGTAGAAGGTTTGAATATAGTAGAAAAACTTCAGGGGATACTACAAGGCTGAGAGATGAGATAGTTGGGGAGTTTTGTTTTGTTTTCCTTTCTGGCTTCAGATGATTTTCTGTGGGTACTTAATGGATTAAATGTAAAATCTGTTACTCTCTTTTTCCACACAGGGGTGAATAGTCAACAGAAGGATGGTGAGCAGCAACAGGTGAAGCAGAATTCTCCATCCCTGAGTGTGCAAGAAGGAGGAATTTCTATTCTGAACTGTGACTACAATAATAATTTGTTTGATTACTTCGCATGGTACAAAAAATACCCTGCTAAAGGTCCTGTGTTTCTGATAGCAACACGTTCAGTTGCGGGCAAAAAGGAAGATGGAAGATTCACAGCCCTCCACAATGTAAGTGCCAAACATCTCTCTCTGCACATTGAGCGCTCACAGATTGGAGACTCCGCCTTGTACCTCTGCGGAGCAAGTACACAGTGCTCTCCAGGCACCTGCGGCCTGTACTCAAACCTGCAGCTGGGGCCAAGCTAACACCCACTTTGGGGTCTCAGATTGGGAGGCACACAGACGTGCTTCCTATTTCACATGGCAGTAAGAGAGGGTGTGCTTTGAAGCAGGTGAGCCAGCTGAGCTGTGAGGAAGACTAACACGTGGCAAGACCTACAAATGAGTTGATAATGTTCCCTGAGCCTCAAGGTGTCCAAGTCTAACCATTCTCATTGTTCATTTTCAGAGAAGGGTTTCTGCGGCAGCCAAGGCACCAGTCCCTAGTGACGCTTTATTCCCACTAATCCCTGGAATGAAGTTACTCTGTTTCCCCTCTATCCCAGGGGAAGAAGTGCATTTGGGATGGGGAAAGCAGGGTCCTAATGCAGGTTTCTCAGTGAGTTTTTGTGGGCTTTATAGTACCAACAATAAAGTACCTCATATTTTGTATAAAATGAACAAAATAATCCCTGAATATTGTTTCTGGGTCACTGTGCCTTTACATTAAATGCATTTGAGGATGGTTATATTATATCACATGTATTTATTTATTTCTTCACTTGTTAATCATTTCCAGGTTTTGCTTAAGTAAATTACTTAATGTTTCCTTTTTCCTAGGATGACACTGAGCGCTGACATACCATCCATCAGGAAAGGTGGTACCCTGTGGAAAATAACATGAAACACAGGCATGACATAAAATCTGTCATCTGCACAGATCTTGTTATTGGTAAACATCCTGATTCTCACCTGAGATGGATTTGTGGGACTGAACATTTAGGGTGCAGCTCAAAGGTGAGAGTGAAAAACAAGGACAAGGTCATTGAAGGACAAAAGGAACTTAAATAATGTGGGAAATATCCCACATGTTGATTAAATCATGAGTGTCCAGTAGAGTGGCAGTTTTCAGCTTCAGATTTAAGTGATCTAGATGGTCAAAGTTACCTATGTGAGATTCCTCGTTCCTACAAATGAATGGTTGTGATTGTGTTAACTAATAAAAAAATATCTTTACACTTTATATTCTTACCACAGTTAACTTGTATTACCTTCGGCAGTTCTATTAGTCAGTCTAATTTCTTCATTTGTGAAATACAGGTTAGAACTAAATGAAATTTATTTCCTTGTTGTTCAGTGGCTATATGATTCCATTAACCTCTAACATATACTGACCCCTGGTTTTTTGCTTTTCACTTATGTGATGACTAAAAGGAAATGAGTCAACCTGAATTTCTATGAAAAAAAAAATCTTCATGCCAGAGTTGTTCTCAGTCCCTTAATGGTAGGATCACAAGCTGAAAAGAGATCCCAAATATCAGGGGGGAAAAACAAGAAATAGGTTTAGACTGATTGTGTACACAATGTTTGTGTAGTATAACATTTGTGTAATGTAATATGTATGTTTGTGGGTGTGTAATATATGTAAAAGAATTTTCTATAATTATTTTTCATTAAAAAGATAACTGTGTTTTTAACACATCTTCCTAAGAATAAAATCATTTGACTATTAAAGAGGCCCCTGAGTTGGGAAGCTATGCCTATTTCACAGGAGACTGATGAGTGGCCATTCCATTTTGGTTGGGCTCAGAGATCCCAAGTCTCTGAAACCATGAGACATCCAATCATAGAGTCAACACAAACGTCATTGGAGGGCCTACCTACGCTACTGTAATGTAATCTGTGCTTACCTTCTAGGAGACACACCATAGGTTGTTCAATTAAGCACCTATATCTCCCATTGTATCTTTTAGGCTTTGTGACAAAAATGGTACATTACTCCAAAAGCAAGGCTTAAAACAATAAATTATGTAACTTACACATATGTGGATTGATAATTTAGACTGGGCTCCACTGAGCAGTGTTTCTGGGCTTGGCAGAGCTCACTGTTAGGTCTGAACAACAATTGTCTGCAGGCTGTCTAGAGGGGCCTCGTCTAGGATAAGTAAAGCTCCCCCAGCAGCCTAGGTCTGCACGCCCTCGCGGCAGCCACGGAGGAGCAAGAACAAGAGTTGAAACAGGGAAGCACGTTTTCAACCTCTGCCTCCATCATAACCTGCAATGGCAAATTGGCCAAAGGAAGTATCAGTTTCCTGCCATATTATATCACAATATATTAACATTATATTGTGTGTATACATGTGTATATATGTATTATATATGTACTTTATATACACATACATGTGTATTAGTATTTACCATTACATACTAATATGTAATTAATATATTTATATTACATATTTATATATATTAATATATAATTATATATTATATATATAGCCAGTATATATATATAATATATATATATAGCCAGTATGTGTATATATATATAATTAATTATATATATAATTATATATATAATTAATATAATGTAACAGTTCCTGTTATTGTAGAATATATATAGCATGTATACATCTATACATACTAATATACATGCTATATATATTCTACAATAAAGGAACTGTCTGAGGAAAAACAATATGATATATTATATATTATGTTTTATTGTAGAAAATAGTATTTACAAGTGTTTTATACATTTATTACATTATATGTTATAAAATAAATTTATTCAGTAACTATGTTTTTGTTTTCTGACCTCTTTCTATTTCTAATACCCATACACATCTTCTTGCCACTACTTTTATATTCTGTTACTGAGTTCAAATTTTTTCTAAGAGTCTACATAGAAATGATACCATAGGGTTCACTTCAAGTTCAAAAAAGTTAGATATATAAATGGATAATCTCTCTAGCTATCATACATCCTTGATCTCAACAAAACTATTTCTAATATCACAATTCAACACATTGAAGAGTTTTGCTTATCTTCAGAAAGACTTAACATAATCTATAAATTGTTCCCTCCCAGTTATAAAGTTCTGTTACAATGCACATTCTTCACTCTGATTGCAGTCAGTTTCATGTCAGTGTATGAAGGGAAGCTGTGGTATGGAAATGGAGCCATGCCTTCTTTCCCTACAGTCCTAAGGTGACATAAAAAGTCATGCCAAAAAGGGACTGCTACCTACAACCTCATTCTTAATTATTTTTGATCAAGCTCTTCACTGCAACACTCAGATTTCATTCATTCCCATTGTTATCATCTATATACTTTTTTTTTATTTGATATATTTGGGAAGCAGCCTTGGTAAAGAGCTACTTTCTGCAACTGACCTAGCATCTTATATTAGGACTTCAGGTCCCAGAGCTTTAGGGCTCAGTCATACAAGACTTCCACCCACCCTCACTTTAGGTACTATTTTTAAACCTAGATTGTTACCTGTGCTTCTGACCCACCAGCTACAAATGGGAAGTTGCAACAATGCCCTTCAACCCAGGATGCCAATCAGATGTCCAGGTGGTTACCTGAAGTTCTGATCCACTGGCTATAAATCACTGGTTCCTACAACACTCTCCTTGAGTTTAATTGTTTTCAAAGTAGATGCAGAGTGACCAATAGAAGTCAAATACAACCAGGAAAAGAGAAAACAGTGCCCACCCTCTTACTAACTAGGAATAAGGTATTTCAATTATGAAGTGTGACGTACAATAACATTGTGCTTTGCAATATTCTTATGGTTTACAAAGAATGCTGACAAAGATTCTACATTCCTGATAGTAGTATCTCAATTTTATGTACAATGAAAGATGAACACAGCTCCAATCCTACTAGGATGTATAAAGTGTGAAAGCATATTGCTTCCTTCCACCTTAACATGTAAACTAGAAAAACAGCAAACTCACAACTTTGCTTTAACCTAACAGAGGCCCAAGGTCACAGAACAAACAAGTAGACTGCATCCCCATGAAAACCAGTTTTCTCAAAGGAGAAACAGGCATGTGGACTGGCACAACTTTATCACAGCATAGAGAAGAGGTGCTGGCTGCCAGACAAACAGAAAAGAAATCAAGGACGAAAAGAAAGGACGTCTCTAGCTGGTGTGGCTCAGTGGATGGAGCACCAGCCTACAAACCCAAAGGTCGCTGATGTAATTCCTAGTGTAGGGCAAACGCCAGGGTTGCAGGCCAGGACCACGCAGGGGGTGCGCGAAATGCAACCACACGTTGATGTTTCTCTCCCTCTCTCTCTCCCACTCTTCCTCTCTCTAAAAATAAATAAAATCTCTTTTTTAAAAAAAAAGAAAGGAAGGAAATCAGCAAAGGGAATGAGTGAGTGAGGGTTCTTATCACAACATAGAGCTGCTGAGAGTAAGAGACACAAAGGGAATTGGTAGGGCCATCTTCACAGACCTTTACCATTTGTTCACTAAAATTACTGGGGACACGATGGGTGACAAGGGTGCCCCACCAGAGATGTACGTCTGTGGGACATGACCAACTGTGGCAGCAGGAAGGCACAAACCCCTCCAGGTTTCCTAGATCAGACTTGCACATGAAGAAAAAGCCTGAAGATGTTGGGGATCAAATACAGAGCTGACAGCAAATTCCATCACCCCTCCCCCACAGGGCCCAGGTTAAAGTCCATTGCAGCAGAGAGAAAAGATAAGGAGAAACCCTCAAACTTTGGGTCAAGGGCAGGAGACCATTCTCAGCTGAATATCCTATAGCAATACCGGTATTTCTCTACTATGAATGAGGAAAAGGCAGAGAATGTTATCCCATGAGTGTAACCAAGAAACATGACAGGGATTGATTACATTGCAGAGGGGAGGTATGATTGCTGAGAAAATCCTAAATCTGAGATCTAGGCACATGGGACAATCCGAAATAAAAGCTGAACCAAGACAGCAGAGTACTGGGTACCTACCCACACGAACCCCAGCAAGCACTAAATGACAAACAATAGTTATGCATGGTGTCAGATGGGTATGACATTTATTACAATGATCAGTTGGTAAATTATACCAGGCCTGCCCAGAAAGTATCTAGCCATACACATTTATTGAAGAAGATACAAGATACTAGAAACATTGCATATAAGAATGACGCCACAGTCTCCGTCAAGGTAGGCACCTTGCCTGGGACATCACACAGCTCTCCCAACTGCAGCACGATGTTCCTTCTGCTCTGGTAGCAGAAGCCAT